TAAAATTTGTTATATATATATATATATATATATATATATATATATATTTATTTTTTTTTTACAAATTTTGTCTCCTTACTTTTCATGTTTATATATTGTATATTGCTATGAAACAACAAAAAAAAATTATTTTCTATTTTCAAATCTGCAACCCTGTTACAAATACATATATATATTCCAAATATATTTTAAAAATGTCTCTACTTTTTATGTTTATTTCAAGTATATTGCTAGAACAACATCAGATCAACTGTTTTAAACTGTATTTAGATACGCTAGCATGGTAACAGGGTTGCAAAATAGAATAGAATATAACTATCTGAAGTAGTTTGACCATCTGAATTTGATGACTGAGATTTTCTGAAGGATAAAGACCTATTTTCCCCATTTGTTCTCAAAAAGAAAAAGAGAGAAAGACTGCAATTACTATATTTCGTAGCCATTTATCAACCCCAGATTTCTTCAATTATATGACATTGGCAAGAGAGTGTGAACTTGAGAACAAAATATTCTCTGCAAAACCAGAACGTTGTCCACTGTTCACTCTCTGAGCGTTGTACAGACTGAGTGACTGCTCTCCTGATAAAAGAATGAATCTTACAGCCCTGAAGACTCAAACGCTGGCTGTGAGAAAAGAATAACAATGAGGCGAATCTCTGCAGCCTCTCAGGTATAAGGCTTACGTATTTAGACCGTCTCTTACCCTCACACAGGAAACTCTCATGCATGAGGGGCCGAAATAATGACCTTGTTTTGTAAGGATCAAAAACAAGGCCGATGAGAAAGTGAAATCCTGCGCATTTATATTCAGCTCTTGGTAGAGTCCTCTGCAGATAGGCGGTTGAATTTGAATTATAGCATAGCATGGTATAGACAAGTTATTTTAATTGCATACTTGTCAATCATAACAGATTTATATAATATTTTCTATACTCACTTTGAATTAATATATAGTGCATTAGGTAAATAGCTGTTGTTTAATAAATACACTGCTTTAAAAAGCTTTAAAGGTATTCTTTTGTCAGATTATAAATCTTACAAATACATTTTTGGGAATAAATCATTACAAAATCAACCAATAAATAAAATAAACAAAAAAACTCTTAAATCTCTTTTTTTTCTTAGTTAGCATTATTGTTGTTTTCCAATAAAAAAAAAATAATTGCCCTTAAACAAGATAAAACTATCGAGAAGCAAAACTAAACAAGATCCAGATCAATATCAGCCATGCATATCCATCCATCCATCCATCCATCCATCTATATTCAGTCCTTCCGATTCATTTTTCTATCCATCCATGATCCATATAATATTACCCATCCATATCCATCCAGCCATCTATATCATCCATCCATATCCATCCGTCCATATCATCCATCCATCTATATCCATATATATCCATCCATGCATCTGTAGGGTTTTTCAACTCAAAAAGGGAAATATTTATGACTAATTATAACTGGTTATGATTAATAATAAATATTTAGATTACCATCCATCCATCTATATTATCAATCTATATCCATGAATTCATCTATTCATCCATCCATCCATGCATCAATATCCATACAGTATATCCATCCATCCATCTGCAATTAATTTTTGTCTTGTTTTAAGCATACATAAATCTAGTTTAAATTTAGTGTAATTTAGTGTGGTTTATGCTTAAAGGGGTCATACGATGCAATTTCAATTTTTCCTTTCTCTTTGAAGTGTTACAAGCTCTTGGTGCATAAAGAAGATCTGTAAATATTCCTGGAGCTGATCCGTGCTGGTTGCTGAGGAGATACTACAACTTTGTGCTGTGGATCGCCGGATCGGCTTTCACTGTGGACGAAGCGGAGTCCAGCCCTGGGTCGTCACATGTGGTTGCCGCAAGAAAGGCGGGGCATAGAGGAGAAACAATAATGTACAGTATGTGGAAAATAATGTGTTTTTTTAACCTTAAACCGCATAAACACATTTCATTACACCAAATACACCAAATAATGTTCTTTTTAGCAGCATCATATGACCCCTTTAAAACAAGAAAAATTAAGTTTATTCATTTATTTTTTAATATACTTAAAAATACTTAATTCAATTTATATTACTTGAAAACAAACCTAAATGTCCTACACAGTTTTGCTTTCCAAGCTTTTCTTTTTTGAAGATATAAAGTACCTTTTCGATTCACATGATCTTTAAAATGAAGTATTTCAGTGTTCAATCAAGGAAAGATATAGCCATTTAACCCTTCATTAAACCCATTTCCAACATAAGACATTAAAACCAGAAAGCAAAGTCGAAGTAAGCATCTTTAAAATGCCTTTCCAGTCTCTGCTCTTCCTTTATTGCTCCTTACACTAATGAGCAGTGAAAGGTTCTGGCTGTAAAGCAGGAAGCTTGTCACATCGCAGCCGTCCCAGTTACAGATGTGCCTCCAGATGCAGGCTTTTGTCTGAGCCCGCAGGTCGGTGTAAGCCATCATGTGTGAACTGCTCTGTGGCAACTAGGTCAGACAGGTTTCCGAAGGCCCCTGTCGGAAGAAAACCACCTCCCTCTCGCATTCAAATATTAATGCGCGAGAAGGGCGACCTCACACTGCCACACACACATAAACGCTAAAAGGATAATTAACCTGAAAGGAAAAAAACTGCATGTGGAGCAACAGGACGGCAGCATGCCGACCATCTCCCCTCCCTCTCGCCATTAGAAAGAGCAGCCAGACTCTGTCACGTTAAGCCTCCCATGGGACATTAGCCTCAGCAAACAAACCCCACCGTTAGACTGATAATTAGCTCACTGGGGAAGCAGTGGAGTTTTCTTTCTTTTTTTCTAAGGAGAAATAACTTCTGCAAAGATAGCGAGGCTTAAGTAACATTCAGATGGAAACTATCGCAGCGTTTGGGATTATAGATGAAAATTTTAATTATCCAGGGACCCTGAGGAGGCGATAAAGACAAAAACACACAGAATAAAACAACACAAGCCTTCGGTTATTCGCGCTGCACATCTAAATACGCCGGTAATTGTGAGAATATGAGTTGATGTCGTGATGATGAACAGGCAAATAATTCCGTCACGGCTCTCGGCGACAAAACCCAAAACAGACAGTGTGAGACAAACGCGGTTTGATCAACAGACTGACAAAGCTGTATTTTGTAATGAGAGCTGCTTGGAAAGGGTTTTTGAAGACAGGTTTATGCGCGGCTGTCTCATTACGGCTTTCTGATGCCTCTCAGTTTGGGTTCTCGCAGATAAAAGTGTGGCGCCCCCTTCAAAATGACCCCTCAAAATCTGCGCGACTAACTTTCATATGCGAACGATTTAATTACAGAGGCAGCCGGCACAGACATGTCAAAGCTTTCTCAAACGCCGGTCGACAATTTACATTTATCGACGAGACGCTTTCAAAACAAGACGTAGAGCTGTGCGCAGAATTCCAGATGAAAAGACGGGCCGCCGAAACGTGGGGGTGGGCGGTGCGCTGGCAGCTCACAGGTAGGAAGAGATATAAAATGCTATGATAATTGAGGTCCACTGAAAGAGAGAAAAAGGCATCTGCAGTATAGAGATAAGGTTTGTGTTTTTATCTGCAACACTGAAAATATTTGAAAATAAAATATCTTGGGATGTTTTTAGCAGCTTTGTTGTGTTTTTGCTCTCTTGAACATCCTGCCTGCCTCTGACTCACTCACATCTTCACCAGATGTAATGGGGGTTTGGTATATTAAGCGGCTGAAGCGGTGATGTTTGGATATTTTTGAAGAATTGAATGGGTCTGAAAAAGGACTCTGATCTAATATAATCTTTACATAAGTATGTGTTCAAAAAGCCAATGTGCATCAGATAAAACATATGATGAACACCACTGTTCGGAATTTTGGTGTTGGGACAATTTTTACAATGAGTTTCATACAAGTCTGTGACTGATGTTTGTTATCTATCAAACATCAGTCATAGAACATAATATGTTTATGAATAAATTAGTACTTTTTTATGGCTGTTACTTCATTTCAATGCTTAGTTGGAATTAAATAAAAAAATCAGTTAATGTTCTCTGATTACCATTTGGAAAGGAGGCCACAGTGTTTTGTGGAACATAAAAAAAAACACAGTTTTTGTTTAGAATGAACCAAAATGAAAACATTTTGTTTCTAATTCCCATTTTAATAACCCAATTCCATTTAGTGACACCAATGGTGCAGAAATGACACTTTAGCTGTAAAATAATATTTCTGTTTATATTTCTGGTGGGTATGAAAATATAAACTAAATCTTTAGTAAACATTAAGGGTGTTTATACTGGAAGTTTGATTGTCTTGATTCTTTTAGTCCAGGCCAAAAAAGAAAATATGTTTAGTCCTGGTTCACCTAGCATTCAAACTGTCACTTTTAACACTGAAGCTAAAGATACAAAACAAAATGAATGAATGAATGAATGATGCATTTATATAACAAAACAAAAGACATAAGCAAACGGTAACAACCTAACTGGACAGCTTTTACAACTTAACCAAACATTTAAAACAATGCTGTGCTAAATGAGTTTGTTGTATGTTTACATAAGCCTGGTTTCTCCCAAGGTTTTTTTCCTCCATTTCTTTCACTGATGGAGTTTGGGTTCCTTGCCATTCTCCCCTTTTGCTTGCTTAGATGGGGACACTTGATATTTGGCGATTTTATTGACGTGACTGCACAGACACTACTAGTTGAATGATGACATCACTGTTTTCTCCAGAGCTGCTTTATAGATAAATTAAACTCATTTCATAATTGAAGGACTTTACACAGTTACTCAACCAAACTGAATCAACGATGAAATGACTTGAACAGTTTACACTTGTTTTTTCAGTGCTGTTTTACAGCAGAGTTGAATTGTTTGTTGTCATTTATTCACTATGTTCTTGTTTATCACTGTAAAGCTGCTTTGAAACCGTCTGTTTTGTATAAAGCACTATACAGTATAAATAAAGGTGACTTGACTTGACTACATATGGTGGTATTTTCCCCAGCTAATAACTTACAAAGAGCTTATATAACTGTACTGAACTGTAATGTGCAACAAAGCTCCTATGACGAGAAGAACCAGGTACACTTCAGCATTCAGGCCTTTTTAGGGATGTGCCTTGTGACATCATGTCCTGTTTTTGGTTTGTTTAGATGTCTTTGGTCCATGTTGCATTCATTTATCAGTAAAACAGCACCAGAGTTTATTTCGCTTGTGTGGTGCACACCAAGGTTCAGATGGCAGCTTTCACACTTTTTCAAATGAACCGCACTAACAGAGCAATCTCACCACAGTTTGTTTTAATCAAACCAAACCTGTCAAGTGTAAATGCCTTAAGAATGCTTTCATTGTTACATGCTTATCATAAAATGTTTGGTCAACTTCTGTTGAACTTACCATTCTCTGGATCCACAATCTCAACTGTGGCTATTGCTGGTGACTCCAAAACAGCCATCACTGGCTCAGTCAGGATAATCTGGAACGTCTCGGACTGCTCGTATTTCCCATCAGAGAGAAGCCTCACTTTCCATGTGGCTGTGGTCTGGCCAGGGTTAAACTGCACCTGCTTCTGTGATTTTCCCAGGAAATCCTTCTCCTTCTCGGCACTGCCATCCAAAGTACCAATCCCTTAAAATAACACAATATAACAATTTTGACAAAGATTCCTGACTTCATATCTCCAGCCTCCAGATGTGTCACAACTCATGACTTTGAGAACGATCTACTCAAAGAAGCTTATTATGAAATTTATGAGCAGGTATTAGCGAAGTCTGCATTTTCCAGATTTATAAAGATCAAGCACAACAGCGCAGGCATCTACGCACTATCGACGCCATACAGAAAGAGATGCACTTTGTATAGAAGAAAAAAGCCCCAGGGCTGTAGGTGTCTGATACTCCGAGGCTAGGATGTAGGAACAAAATCAAGGAACATGTTGAACTAAAGTACAGCATGTAGACTCAACTTCCTCTCTACTGTAACACTGGTGCGAAGCTGTGATGCGATTCCCACACAGAGGGAAAACCTGCAGTGAACCTGCCCGGAAGCGTTTGATCTCTGATACATTAAGCAGAGACACTGTCAGGGATCCGTCTGCCAGAACCTCCCAAACAGATGTGAGGAATTAAATCACCTCAGTATTTCAGATCAATGCTGGATGATCGCTGAGCTTCAATCCATAACACTTAAGCTACTACATGACAGGAAAAGCAAATTGTAGAAAAAAAGACTGCAGATAGGGATTTAATTATGAATATAGATTTTTTTATATTGACCCACTAGACATTACAAGCATCAAAAATGTACATAAAATTAAACAGAATACAGGCCATAGGTTTCAGATATCTCAAGCAGTCACAGGCTGTTTTCCTCCAGGTAGTAGTGTTACATACAAAATATCATAATAATATAATTTAATATAATATTGTCAGCTAAAAAATTTTTTTTATGAATTTGCCATGATGAAATATTGACAAAATTTAAAGGACATTAAAAAAAATATGTATGTAATGTATGACTGTATCAACAACTTCTCCAATCAATTTGTTTCAGATTTGAAAGACTGTTCTATATCATATTTAGTGCATAAATGATGCCTAAGATTGTGTTCCTTGAGAACTGTAATTTTATCCTTAAAGATCTTGAAGTAACATTTAAGATCTAAAATCTCCTCAAAAAGAAATTAGAAACATCATGAGTGAAGTATATGTAAGCAATAAGAATATATAAATACTAAAAAAATAAATAAAATCACACATGATTTTTGTAATTAAAATAATTTGATTTCTGTCACACTTAAGCAGTGTTGGGAAGGTTACTTTGGAAATGTAGTAGGTTACAGATCACAAGTTACCCTATTTAAAATGTATTAAGTAGTGTAACTATTTCAAAGTAATATAACTGATTACATTTGATTACTTTTCTACATTTCTAATGAACATTTTCAACTATTATTAATTCTGAAACATTTAAAGCAGGCAAGTTTAATCTTACGGTAGTGCTCAACACTGATTACTGTTAGATTTTCCAAATCCTTCATCACTTGAATTAAAGGGGTCATATGATGCGATTTCAAGTTTTCCTTTCTCTTTGGAGTGTTACAAGCTGATTACAATTTAATTTTAAAGCACAGACACCAAAAAATCAGACTTTAGCACCTCTTTTTACTTTGAGATTCGTTCTGAGGTTAAATATAGATTTAAAATCATAATATAGTTTAATAGCTATGATACTGTTTTTGAAATCAAATCCTTGCATAGCTATGACAGGAAACACTGGCATCTAACAATGCTTTGGGGAAAAAAGTCTTTAAAAATATAGAGCATATACATAAACCCAAATCGAAATTAAAAGTTATCAAATAGTAAGCATGTGTCCTTTTCTGTGTCCTAAACTCCTGAAACATTGGGGTCTCATATTTTAAAGTAGTCCATGCAGTTTGGGAAAGAAATCAATCAAATCTGTGTGTGTGAAAATATTCAGATGTAACCCCCTTTGTAATCGTTAACATTTTCATAAGTAATGGTAATTTAAATGCACATTTTTCTCAGTAACTGTAACAGATTACGGTTACATTTACTCTGCTACATGTACTAGTTACTCCCCAAAACTGCACTTAAGGGGCTGTATTTGAAACCATCTTTAGTCAGCTAGACGTTCCCTCGTGGCCATTAAAGGTTATTTAGCTGTAGCTTTCAGCAGAATATAACTTTAGATGGAACAAAAGCCTTCACATGTTCCATCCAACCATGCATGTGAAAAAAAAAATCATCCAAGAAAGCACAGAGCACGGAAAGACAGAAATTGATTGAAAGATATAAGGTGAGTTCAATAAAAAAAGAACAAGAGAGAGAGAGAGAGAGAGAGTTCAATTCCATTTCTCTAACAACAGGGGGGCTCATTCTTACCACAACAAGCGGCATAGGACGCCAGCCACAGTGAGTGAGACAAGAGGAAAAGGAGAGAAAAGGGCAGAGGCAGGCGGGTGTGAAAAAGTAGAAAGCTATATGAGGGGTGGGGGTAGATATGTTTGGCAGAGAGAGCTCCAGGCTCCAAAGAGCACAGAGGCAGATGAAGCCTGATCTCAAACACTCTTCACTGGTTGTGAGCATCACTATCACACTTTTGCTGTTACTGGGATGGCTCATCCGAAAATTAAATTCGGACATCATTTTCTCTAACTAATGTTGTTTGAAACCCATGTGTGTTTTGTTTCTTCTGTTACAGTGATTGGAAGCAATCATTTTTGCTTGCCACTTCAAATGAATTGTGACACGTTATCAAATTATACACTACTGTTCAAAAGTTTGGAGTTGATAAGATTTTTAACGTTTTTGAAAGAAGTCTCTTCTGATCACCAGGCTGCATATGTTTAAAAATACTGTAAAAACAGCAATATTGTGAAATATTATTACAAACTGAAATAGCTTTGTTCTATATGATAGTATTTTAAAATGTAATTTATTCCTTTGATGGCAAAGTAAAATTTTCAACAGCCATTTCTCTAGTCTTCAGTGTCACATGATCCTTCAGTAATCATTCTAATATGCTGATTTGCTGCTCAAGAAACATTTATTATTATTATCAGTGTTGAAAATAGTTGCGTAATATTTTTGTGGAAATAGACAATAAAAACCGCATTTATTTCAAATAGAAAACCTCTGTAACTTAAAAAAAAAACACTTTCAAAAAACATCTTCTCGATCCCAAACTTTTTAAAGTGTATTACTAAATATTTAAGTACAAGACGTTTTATATGGAAGGCCACTTTCATGTCAGATCAAAAAAAATAAATTAAAAAGGTAAATTAAACATTTGTAGTTCCAGGTTTTAATGTGGCCTAATATAAATTTTATTTTAAATTACCAAAATTGCAGCTAAAATTAAGATAAAATTAAAATGAAAAATAAATTAAAATTAAAATTTTAATGCAACTACTTATGGAAGCCTGTTTCCGCCACGGAATAAAAAAAAAAAAGTACCGTATTGTCCCGAATATAAGACGATGTTTTTTTCTTGGAAATACATCTGAAAAAACGCGGTCGTCTTATATTCAGGGTCTAGACTTTGACATGTCAATAATACACCCACAACAATAGGTGGCGCCAAAACCGCATAAAACGATTTACGCCATGAAATACGTAATGTGATGCGTGTTGTAAAGATCGCGAATAAAAACAAACCTTACAGCTGCATGAGTCGTGACTGTCACGTTAGCCTGATGGCACCAAACTCCCTTTGTGATTTTAAAACGTAAGACAGTACCCAGATTTGAAGACTACAGTAAGATTTAACTTCTACTGTTAATAAGATTTTGGTAGGCTACTATTAGATGGATAGCCTAATGTCCTAATTCAGATGGGCTATTTTATTTTTTTTATTTTTTTAATGGTATATAAAAAGTGTATATTTTTTTTAATGTGATTGTTGGTACATTTTACCAGTTTTTACCATACTTTCAAAACAAAAATTAAAATAGGAAAAATATGCAATATGAAAATAATTGAAGACAAAATGTGTTTTACTGAGAAAAAACAAGATTTGGTTTTTAAAAAGCCTTTTTCCAAAAGGTACATCTGGAAAAAGGGGGGTCGTCTTATAATCAGGGTTGTCTTATATTCGGGCCAATACGGTAATTTGTTACTTTTTCTCTCATAATTTTTTTTCTCGCAATCCTGACTTTTTTTCTCAGAATTGCATGATATAAACTCACAACTGTGAAATATAAAGTCAGAATAGCGAGATATAAACTCAGAATTGTGGGATATAAACTCACAAATGCAAGAAATAAAGTCAGAATTGCATAATATAAACTGCGAGAAAAGTCAGAATAGCGAGATATAAGCTCGCAATTCTGACTTTTTTCCCTTGCAATTTTTACTTTATAACTTGTAAATGCAAGTTTATATCTCACAATTTTCTCAGAATTGTGAGATATACGTAAACTCGCAATTGCGAGACATAAAATCAAATTCTGAGGGAGAAAAAAAGACTTATATTCTCAGAATGGCGAGATTATATCTCGCAATTTTGAGAAAAAAAAAAAGTCAGAATTGCGAGATGTACACTCGCAATTGCAAGAAAATGAGAGAAGTCGCAATGACCTTTTTTAACAGGCTTCCATAACTACTTGTAACTTAAGTGGAGCGTTTTTATAATGCTGCGAAAGATGTAACGGTCAAAACAGTCTGTCTAGTGCATGTTCACATAGAAAAACAATGGAAAAGGACCCTATGAGTTTGCACACTATCCACAGCAGGAACAGTGAACAAAAGCAGAAATGAGTGGAATGATTAAGGTCAGAAAGGAGAGGTCTTGATCACCCTACCGCCCCCTAGAGACAGGGAGCTTCATTCATTTTTATTAACCTGCACTCTAGAACCTAATTACTTACACCCCATATCCAGCTTTTCATTCTGCCCTCCTTCATTTTCATCTCTTGTTGCCTTCTGCTCTTCACTTTTTCACATTCTCTCTTTTTAACCTCAACATCCCTTCAAGCCAACACACACACACACCACAAATCCGAAACAGCATGAACAAAGACCCTTGGTTTCATGAATACTGACCACATGTGGGGCTGAGCTGAGCTCAGTGCAGCGCAAGATAAGCAGGTGTACTCTCAAAAGTGTTCAGACTGTTCTACGGATGTCAGAGAGAGAGTGAGGGCTTTCATCTCAGACACAAAGGAGCCAAAACCACTTAGAAAAACATCTTTAACAGCTTCCCGTTGATAAGCTTAAGTAATAACAGCTCTCACTGTGAACACAGACACTACTGAATGCTAATCATTCCCTGTTAACGCCTGTACTGGTGACTTCTTGACAAGTTTAATCAATTCTGGATAATAGTTTGTTTTTCAGCAAAAATTAGGTGATGGCCAATGGAAAATGTATGAAATAAAGTATTATGCTGTCAGAAAATCAAATAAAGAATGATCCAGTGCACTGATACTCACCAACAAAAGACGTTTCACCTAGAAAACCTCTACGTCTTAGGATCACCTCGAGAACTTTGTCCTGCTCATCCACCACATAGTTTGGTTTCTCCAGAGAAATCCAAGCCCAGTTCAGACGAAACTGCTGGTTCTTCAGTTTGTTCCCTCCTGAAAACAACAATTAAAATGTATACACTCTTATCAGCATTTGAAAGCATAAATAGAGCACTGCAGTAACAATGTATTTTTGTAGGCTAACCCAGAAGTTCGCATCACCCTGCTTCCTTTGACAAAAACCCAATAGGATTTTTCCACTGGCTTTTGGATTACTGGAGAAAATAAGTTCTGTGACCAACAAAAGTTTACGATTCTCACATGTTTTTTACATCATGATAATCTTCACAAATGAACACAACTTTCATTAATTTTGAAGCCTAAATACAATCACAAGAAGTAAAAAGCTAAATGTAGACTATGAACGAACTACACCATGGTTGCATGACTTTAATGTCACCACTATCAACTCTTTCAGTCTTTATATAAATGCAACAAATTGGAAAGTTGGAGTGAGAATACTTTGCAAGAGTGCAAGTATAAACACAATGAGGCTGTAAAAGCGGACTATAGTGAGTAAATTAGCTTTTCTGTTTGGCGTGATGACTTTTAATGTCCCAGACAAACTCTGTAGTCCCATTTAGCCACTAGTTAACTTAAAAAAGAGGTATTACTATTTTATGTCATTGAATAAAACATGAAAATATCTTGAGCTTGTGTTAACCACAGACCTCATTTCAGGCATTCAACCAAAAACCCATTCAAAAAACCCACAATGGAACTTGAAGTAAAAAAATGCGAACTCATAGGTTACAGGATTCATTCCTGCAGTACTCTATAAAATATTTGTTTAAATACTTAAAAATATTCACGGAGTGGAGATGTGCAAGTTATTACAATTCTGCGGAGTTCTGCATACACGTTCCTGTTAATATATTATGAAAATGATCCTCATATAATCGACTCCGAAGGGATTAATTAGTGATCATTTACATCATAACAATGTACACACCACCAGTTGTTTACTTAAGGGGTTTATGGTAAATAACTCTCTCATAATGTTACATCTTACATGTAATTTCCCCATTTGGGAAAACCTACCTTAGCAGGTGTTATAGCACAATTAACTAGTTTATGCTACAAGGATCCAGCATTTTTTAACATAAAATCTATGTTTTTATATATATGATTACCTACAGTATCTCTACACTTATGCACTCGACCCAGAGTGCCTCAGCACCTGTCTTTTACCCACACAAACTAAAAATAAAGGTTTGTTTGTATAAAAGAATGTAGTTCAGTGCAGAACAGACATGATGAAATATTTATATCTTGTGCATGCTGACTTCACACTTCACATGCTTGGCCACAATTCTTGGTGTAGCTCACATTATTTGTATCATCCAGATGTTCCTGAATCACCATCATCGTTTTATACCATGATACTGAATGATTACCATGGTAATGATTGCCCCAACCAAACCGAGCTTACAGAGATGCTTTCAAAGGCATTCTACACCTCTAATAGATTAAACAATGAAAGAATATCCAAAAGAGCATGGACTTCATGCATTACGAAGCCTATGATTAAATCTCTAGCAAAAGTCTGTGTGAATACATAATTTCGTGCACACATACCTATATACCAACTGCATCTCTAATCTATATTCACGGCATGCCATGTCTCGTAGTCTGCACGCGTATTGATAACCCACTTTACGTGCACGCAAAACATCAGAGACTAATTCCCAATTTCTCAACAAGCTAGACCATGTATATTCATGACTTTTCTATGCTTGTTTCACTTGATTTCCTCAAGCTAACCCCGGGCTCCTAATATCTCACTTGCTAACCTTGCCTGATAGATGTCAAGACTGGAAAAAATTGACATGTTGCCAATGCCCCTGTATTTCTAACTCGATATTAGCCTGGTTGCTAGGTGATAACCATTCGGTAGATGATATGCAGCGTATACAAATTCAGAATGAAGGAAAATAAACCATTTCACATGATGAAGTGATTATATTTGACATTTTGTGAAGATTAGCAGCATAAGCCACACGGTTCGTTGAATTATCATAGTGGTCCTCATAATTAGTCGTCCATCAGGACTTGTCGACTCATATTTTGACTCCATTTATAGATGTGGATTGCAGATAAGAAATCTGTAGTAAATAGAAATATAATTAAAAAATAAATATAAATGTATATAAATCAGAAAGGCAACAGCCACATCTATATGTAAAAACAAAGATACTATAAATCACATATTAACAGTGGGCAATATTTGATTTGATTTATGGTTTTATGTTTTATTATACCTCTGTGAGTGGATATAAGCAAGCTAAAAGCATTTCTTCTATCATTTCTGCAGTCAATGGCAGGGTATTAATGCAGCGCATTATCCAAGCTGCAATGACCCTTTTTCTTTTATCATGTCAGATTCTATCAATTTAAGAAAGAAGAGATAGATAGGGTGTGGTTTAAATATCGCCAAAATCCATTTGCGAGTAAAGAAAAAGCTCTCAGCTCAAGGACTCCACTATTCTCTGTGTTCAGGGTGTTCATTCAGGTCAATGAGCCGAACAAACACAACACCATCAGTTACCCCAAAGACAAACAAAATCAAATGGATTTTTACATTTTCTAAAGAACGTGAGTGGTGTTTGCCAGTAAAAAACCTGTCACAATGTCACAAAACAATTTGGTATATTTAGCTAAAATGGATGTTAATAACACATGTAAATGAGGTTAAAAAAAATTATAAAACAAAAAATAAAATGAAATATTAAGGTGTCACATCCTTGTCTCTAGCAGAAATGAGTGTACTATTTGGGGGTTTTGAGAAACGTTAACCAAGTATGAGAAATAGTATTATTGATTCTCGCCTAAAAGGCCACTGAAAATGAAGTAAACAAAGGATTCAAATAAATGAGAAGAAAAGAGAAACAAGCTATTTAGTAATAAAGGATAGCATCACACATGTGAATTTAAAATTCAGTTGTATTTGTTATGTTGTCAAGCTGAACAATAAGATGCTCTCATTAGCTGTGCCTCTGAAGAAATTGACTGACAGTTGCTTTGAAGCCCAGTGGATTTGTCCAAACCCTGATACTGACAGTCTCCATGAAGCTTCTCACACAAAAAGCCCATAATGACTTTATTAAACAGTAGCATTTCAGAGCCCGATAGTCCAGACAGAGTTTCCTAGAAAGACATGACAACACAACAGCTGACATTCACTCAGAATAACTCATTAAAAGCTAATCAGTGTCTGGTGCATGAGCAGCTTTACTCTATCCAGAAAGTTTGAAGAACTTCTTAACATCATCTAAAAATAGAGTTCACAAATAATTAATCAGATACGCTCTCAATCCTCCTGAGTGACTGGATAAAGTCTGACAGAAGTCAAATGGAGATGACCCCTGAGGGTACTTACAAACTACTATAGTGATTCATGAGGGTCTTATACCATCAGGGCTGGAACATAAATCTGAATATGAGAATGAATGAGAAGGGTAGAGTATTATGTGCCATAAAGCACAATTCCTTCTTTTTATTAATTCTGTGCCAACAGCATCAACATCAACAAACCCTCAGGAGCGCCACACTCCCAAAACTTAGTTAAACACAAGTCATAAATAAGTGCTACTTTGAGGCCTGTTTATCAAAACTATTATGCATGTTGCACATACTCATGTTTCTATATTGATTTCCAGGATTGATTACTTGGACATCAATGGATAAGTATGATAACATTTGTGTCAGTTTATGCCTCCCCCATACAGTAGGTTTCCCTGAAAAAGCACCATTGATTCTAGATCTGAAACATCAAGAACAGAATACATCTAGTCATCAAGGCTATTTTTGGTTTTTCAAAGTGAAAAATGGGGACAGGTGCTTCTCAAAGAGCAGAAAATGAAGAAACAGGACATCACAACATAGCCTAACTATCATCTAAATTAATTACCAACACATGCACGTGCTTGAGCGAAGAAGCAGCTTGTTGTTCATTTCATGGTTCCTCTAGCCTCTCCTCATCTAGCTCAATGGGCTCTTGGCTACAGCCACAAAGTCTTGGCTGTCTGCTTTACTGTTTTCTGGTTGGACTGAAAAAGCTGCGCTAGTCTTGCAGAACTTGGAAACATTCAACAAGGACATGTAGTCATGCAATAAAGACAGTTCATAGCATCCAGGCTGCTCAGATTTAAACAAGAGGTCCACAACCTCACAAAACACAGGAAGTTATCTTCAACTAAGGTCACGATTTGCCTGGATGCCCTCAATTACTTTCTTCTGTGCCTCCGTCTTCACCAATGACCTGCATAACCTTATTTAGAAGAACTTTGTTGCAAGAACAGCAGATCCTTTAACTGTCAGCAGACTGACTGAAGATAGCAGTCGCAAACCTCTTATTGGTCCATCACCTGTCCACTCGATCAGCGGCACTTTTAAATGTTTAACCAGGAATACATGCAGGTGTGGTCTTGTCACTGAAACAGTCAGCCATGCAGGTCTAAGGTTAATCCAGAAATCCACATCTGAACTGACCCTAAATACCTGCGCTACCCTCTAAACCAAACAAAACATCCCACCTTTGGTTTAGTCTGAAGAGATGAAGCTTTCAGGGGAAATTCAATGCTAGCTCTTGCTAATCCACATGTGAATATACAATCTTATGTCTAGCCAACAATGAGAAACAGAGCTACAAAAATGTTCTATTGCAATGTTATTTCTGGTTAATTTGATATGGAAGAAGAAAATAAACAGCACAAACATACGGTTATCTACAACCACGCTATGATTAGTATTGTTCTGTATTGTTCCTACAGCGCCCTGGATCCTATTCAACAAATCCCCTGTAAAAAAAAACTTCACAATACAAGGTATACACCAGGGAAAACAGAGCCAGCAATGAGATTTTTCTTTTTTTTTTTGTTAACCCAGACACAACAGAGCTTTAGGAACAACCTAAATGGTGGTGAACAGTCTGCGAAATTGCTTTCCAGGAAACAAAAATGGTTTAAAATGGCATAAAATTGGCACCATTTTGGTTCCCAACCTGATGTCGATGGTCAGGTCTGTTGAAAATAAACCAAGATTTATTTTTAACAGTACACAGAAAAAAAATATTTAAGTACGTAATGGCGTTTTTGCTTTAGAGCGAACACTGGTGTAAGTTCACATCAACAAATGTTTAAAAAACATCTCTAAGTCCCACAGCAAAGCTATGATGCATCACGTAAAGCCTCCCTCTGATTTTTGTAGCCTCTGTGTGTCCCTGCAGTCGTTCCTGTCATATTTCTATCTCTGCCTCTGAGGCCTGATTGCAGTGAGAGGTGTAGAGGATTCAGAAAGTGCTACCCGTCATGACCTTTTGCAAAGGAAGGGTAACTGATAAATCTGTCCTCTTTTACCCGTTAAGTTTGGGAGCTGCAAGTTGCAAAATAGTTCAAATGGAGAACTGCATTTATTAGTGTCAGTCAAAGGGTGTTTATGTGACTAAAAAAAGGTCTGTTCTCAAACCTAGTAAGCTGCCTCACTGACTACATACAAAGGCAACTGCCTTCTAAGGCAGAATCCTAGCTGTTCTTGAACATTGTAAATATGTTGTGTACAAAATCAAATACAGTACACCTGCAATGGTGTCTAAAAGTACTTCAGGCATACTCAGTGTCTGAATTTGTTCACTTGTTTTAATTCACCCCTTTAAGTGCACTATGTTAGTGGAGTAATGTAGGGAATAGTGGATGAAGGTATAGGGTGCACTTTCTAGGTATTAAAATACATAGCACAAATATTATGTTTATTAATGTGTTTTGGTATTGAATGAAATGAAAATAAATTTATTAATTGCCTTGTCTGCCTTTAATTTTTTCAATGGAGCTTGTTGCAGTGCGTTATACCTTTTCCACAAGGGATACATGCTAAAAAAAAGATTTTGTAAGGTATGTTAATACTGTAGTGACAAGAGTTTGTCATGACAAAACAACTGGATATCATTTATTTTTAATAAAAGCTGGTGATTTCAGAGACTGTGTTATAAACCAACAGCCTAGCAACTCGCTGACCTCCATCAACTGAATCACTGTCTGTGTGAATGAGGCTTTAGGAGGCAGAATAATGAAGTTGCCTACACTTTGGAACAGCTTTAGCATCAGCAGTGCGCCTTTGATGCCTTACAATGTTGTCTCCAGAGGCAGCTTGCTAGGTTTTGGAACAAAGCAAAAGAGACAGAGGCAAAAAAAAAAAAAAATAGATGATCTAGGCCAAACTCTGATGGACAGTTTACAGACTAAAATAAAGCTAGTATGCAGCCTTACTGGTACAACAAAAATGTGGCTGATTTATAAATTCAGAAAAAGTACACACAGAAATATCTTCAGAAGGTCAAAATCTTGTTTGAACTCAAATAGTCCTCTAAACTGTATGCAGAAAACATGATAATAGTTTTTGCATTGAAAAACAGCCTCATCATCATTATAGGGAATGCAGAGAAAGAACATTTTGGAAAACAAAACAATTAATTAAACCCCTCTGGAATACTACTTGTACTAAATACGTAAGTCGCAGTCTAACAGAGTGCATTAAATAAATGCAGCTGTTTAACACAAATTGGCTGTAAAATGGAGTTTATGATGTTAGCTGTGGTTGTCAGGCTCTTTGGACAAGCACAAACTAAGATAGTCTAATTAGCTCAGCTTCTTCAGGCATAATGTGGCAAAGTGGTTGTAATCACTGAATTTCATGCTGAAGCTGTACATTACTGCACAAATATGGGAAAAAAGGGGTCCTAGGAGAAAGCCTTGAGGCACCTCGTGATAAAAACAGCTCAGCTGAGCCCTTTTGTGTTTGCACACTACATCTGTAAAATGAGATGTGATACAGATAGTCCCTTACTGCTTGAGGTCTTTCCAATAAAACAAATGCCTCCATAACCAATAGAGTGAAACCATCCACAGGAATGCAGAGAAACAAAACTAGTAATGACCCACTGGGATCAGGGGTCAGACACCAACACAGCTGCATACCAACGAGTTCCTACTCCTCAGTCTTTCCTGCCTGAATTGAGAGATGACTGACAGAGGGACAAATGCTCCCAAAGGGGAAGGGAGGAAGAGAAAAAAAGTGAAGGAAACAAATAGAAACATAACACAAAAACAATTCTAAAAACTGGTCCTGTCAACTGAATGTGTTAATTTTGTGATAAAAAAATGTAAAATAAATATAAACATTTTTTTAAATAAACAAACGCTTATTTAAAAAATCTAAAATGTAATACTAATAAAGAAAAAATGAATTAGGGTCATTCCGTGGCAACCCCATATATTTACGATGCATGTCCTTGAAAATGAAGATTCCATTATTAAGATTAGATATTAAGAACTAGAATATAAAATCATATTGCAATATCTTTAATATTTCTTGAGTTATAGGCACACGAACTTTGGAAAGAGAATATTAATGGCACTCAGACAGATATGTTCAATGCAGTTGTTTTGACAGAAGGAAACCAGATACATTTCTAATTTCAACATTATGTCTTCAGACATTCCTCTATATTTTTGAAAAGTGACCCACATTTGTTTTTTGACCACTGGAAATGTGTACAATTTAACGATTTACTCCTGGAGGCATATTGGAATTCCAATATCTCTGGAACTGAACAATATAAAAAGGAAGATTTAAAAAGGAAAGTTTAAGACCCAATATCTAAAAGAGCATTAAGATATCTTTAATACTTCTTGAGTAACAGGCATGCAAACTTTGGAGAGAAAAAAAACTTGAAAAGTGGTTTCTCCATTTTTGAATGGTCACCATTGGCACATAATGCAACATAGATTGCTAAAGTCAACAGGTTTTACTAATAGACCTACCAATCTCTGCGTAAAAGTAACACTATGCTGCCATCTTTCTGAAGCCATTTGTAACCCCCTGTAATTTGGCTCTGAATCTCAGGTGAAAATTGCCATTTTGATCCCCCTCTACAAAATAGTGGATTACTCAGTAAATATTCATCCACGACATTTAATATTTTGGCTTTCATCACAAAATATGTTTATCTTTCTTCAGAAAAAAATATTAGCAAAATCAAAAATTTGAGCCGGGAACCTCTGGTTGAAATGCAACCACTGCACAATCCTTTTAAAAAAAATAATGCCTTTTGACTGGAAGGTGCTAAGCAGACTGTAATGGTTATCTTGTTTCAAGCCACAACAGATTATTTCATGACAAAGCTGGTGATTTTAAGCATGAGACAGACATAAAGCCCCAATACAGCATTTGAACCAGCTGTTTTCCTATAGAGCTTGTATTTTCCCAACTCTTTCCAATGCCAGAGACCCTCTAATACTCAAAGTAATTGTAAGCCTGACAAGGGGTGTGTCTTACACTCATGGCTATGGGCTCTAATTATGTGTCATCTTGCCTCTAGCTTTATATACCAAACAGACCTTTGTGTTGCATGTATGCAGACCCTTTAATCCACAATGTCCATTTCTGAGGCACTAACACAGTCAATCCACATCCTGCAGTGTGCTTTGTAGTGTGCATATCACACATATTTGGCTTTCCAAATAAAACAAATCATCACTAATCACAACAAGGCTTTAGCCGCAAGCTTTTCCAGCAACAGTGACTGGATCATCACGTTCAACCTAATTTATACATGATTATCTATGCTTCACCAGATTTAATCCTGCCCTTTTGAAATATGTTCTTAGGGTCATTGTAACCCACACTAGCTCACTTTTACGTTTTCTTTGATGTACTAAAAACTCATTAAAATTTTTATATATATTTTTTTGCAGTCAAAGGTAGCACAGCATGTAATAAACTGCACACAGACAGTTCACCTACCATGGAAAGAAAAGGCCTAATTAAATGCTACATATCGAAATATATCCCTCTCTGGTCTAAGGGTTCACAATTAATCATCCAAGGCTATTTCATATGCAATGACACCTAAAATCAGAGGACATTATATCATTCATGAATTCAAATGATTTGTGCTGTATTACTGACGTTATATGGCTAAATGTGTTTATGAATAATTCTAAACACATAGTCAAACCATTAAAAGGCTGAAAAATGGGCACATTTCATTTTCTTGTAAAATTAATACCACTTTCCTTACCATTGTCCTCCACGGTGAAACTAAAGACGTCACTGGTGGCATTGTTCTCGTCCTTTAGGATATAGCAGATCTTAAGATCATCTATGTCAGCTGGGGACACACACAAACACAAAACTGTAACATTAAACTGCACAATGCAATTTATTATTCATTCAGAAGAAAATATATCTCAAAACAATCTATGAAATTTTTTGTATTTATGATGATCTACAAACCCTAGAGTGAAACCCTCAAGATCAAATTGTTCTATAAGCCGATCAACTTAAAAATATCTGCATTATAATTCAAAGAGCATGCTTGGTTTTGCAAAAAAACATGTTGATAAAAAGATTTTTAGGTTTTAATAAATCCAGGTGAGAATTTTCACAAAAGCAGCAGGGAGTGAGTCACAAAACAATCAGCAAAACAGGTGACAAGCTGTTACATAATGACAGGTGAGAACAAGAATTTTAAACACAGACCCAGACTTCCCTATCTGGTCGGTCCCATCTCCCAAATTAGACCTTTTAACTACTTCTGCTCTGATACACAGTGGTTAGGTTACGGTGTACCATAATCAACCTGGCTCTCTCTTCCCCTTGCTCTGACCCACTTCTTTAAATTATTGATATCAGAGGAAGAAGCCTCATAAAAATGTAAACCTGTGATTCTTTATGCATGGATGAAACCGCTTTTCATATTGAAAATAAAATGTCTTCTTTCATCGCCAGCACACACTCTCATCGTAAAATATTTAGCAAATGCCAAAGAGCAAGCGGTAGCAGAATATGGGGAAAGGGCAAAGTAAATAAAGAGAAGTGATTGTCCCTTCTGCTTCACTGCTCATACTGATGAGGTCAAGTCAGGTTTGCCAGGTCTCTCCCTCTCTCTCCATCTCTCACTTCTGCTTCTTCCAATGTCTGGGACACATTTCAGACTAAGTTAGCCTGACATGGATTTCACATCTTCTCACTATGGCTCTCATGTTTGAAGAGTGCATTTATGCTTTAGAAGCCATGAACCTGTGCTGATTAATACAGCTTGTTTCTGAACAAAATTCTTATTCTGGCTAATAAGTAGGGATGTGCAAAAGGATATTTTTTAAATCGAAAAGCCAGGCTATTTTTGCTAATTTGCATATCGTTTGTTCGTTTAGGAGGCTAACCTGTTAGCATTACGCTAAGCAATTGATCACCCTGATTGGTCAGCAAACTAACAGAAAACAGAGTTTCTTAAAATGATATACTATGAATCTATTTATATTAGATTAATAGTTATATTAAACATGTATAGCTTTGTTTAATGTAATGTGAAATTGTATATATTTTTAAAGACATTAATTTATGTTTCTTGATGGTTTAGACAAAAATTCTTATAAAAAGTGATATTGAAGGATCAAATTTTATCATTTTGAAGGATCAGATTTTATTATTATTTTTCTAAACAACAAGAGAGATGAATACCTGTTTACAGATTTGCAAACTCTTCAGGATCTTTTATTTAAATTTAAATGTTAAGCTATATAAAATTATCATTTTATATATAAAATTACATTTGTAATGTATAATGTATAATTTCTCTTTAAAAAAAAAAAAAACTAAACTTCTTTAAGATATTGCAAGGAGTATGTAGACTTATAAACAAATTACAAAACAAAGAATCCTGACATTGAGTATTTAAACAGCAAATTAAACTTTGAGTGTGTAATAGACGGGGATGTTTATCTGAACAATGAAGCATGAAAGCAAAACTCATGCTGCTGGTACGACCCAGTCAAGATGCTCAAAAAAACCCCAAAGATTGCAAGTCTGTTTGTTATGGCTAGCAGCGGAAAAATTACACCCTTCACCTCTAACTCGGTTTAAAATGTGGTTTGCCTGTAACCAGTAACTCTTTTCTCACTACAGGGACGTTAGAAGGCAAAAGTTTGAGAACTTAATAATTGAAAGGAGATGTGTGAACGCTCTAGTTGTCTCATCAAGAATTTAAGCTGAAGGCTAAAAGACAGACACATCTTACAGCCTGCGCTCTTGGCAAAGGGCAAAGTGCCTGTTTTGTGATGGAACCTACATTATTTCAAGCATTAATAAGACAGAGAACCTGTCCTGAACATGACGGGTACATAGCATTTCTTAAGGAGACAATTCTTACATGCGTATCTTCAAATGATGGTTCTACAGAGCATAACACTGCACGGTTCTAGCAAAACAAATGTAAAAAGTAATAAGATTTCACAGGAACCAAACATAGGTGATAAGAACATTTCTGATGATACATTACCTTGTGTGAAGATGTTGATTGAGTCATTCCCTCGGTCCAGGCTGATCAGGTAGCCTTGCTCTGGCTGTGTTGTAATGTGAAAAACCAAAGCCTCAGGGCTGCTGTCTCTGTCCACTGCCTTCAGGACTTTGCTTGTGATCTGATAACCTAAGTGACCTGCGGACAAGACCTTTAAAGTCGGTGCACCTTTGTTAACCACAATCTGTGGCACACCGTTGTCCACTGACACAATGGTAATCTTCATGGTCTGAGGCCTTTGGGTCTCAAAAATGGTATCAGGAAAGACAAAAAAATCGGAATGGGTGCCATCAGTGACTGTAAAAGAAAAGCTGTCCTTGTCCGACTTTGTGCCATCATGCTTGTAGCTTATCATATTCTCATTCAGGTCCTGCTTTGTAAATGAAGTCACCTGTCGACTGTTATTGAAGAGCAGTTTGCCGTGAATGGGTAGCTGGGTGACGGTAAACTTGAGAAGGTGCTCAGCTGTGTCTTGGTCCTCAACGGTCAACTCAAAGGGCGTAATGAGTTTGGTCTGTCCCTCGGTCACTTGAAGGTCATGAATGGTCAGTACCGGCTTTTTATTGTCAACATCAACAATCGAAACACGGAACGTGCGGAACACAGGGTTGTAGCCATCGGTCACCTCAAACTCAAAGCTGTCCATCTTGACTTCATCATCAGCAGTATGAATGTAGTAGATCTTGCTTCCGGCCAGCTGTAATTGGGTAAAGGACACAATAGGCATGGCTGGCGAATCTGTGCTTTCCAAATGCCCTCTCACCGGGGCTCTTGTGATGGTGAAGACTAAGTTCTCATCAGGGCTGTTGAGATCACTAGTGCTGAGGAGGTTCGTTGTGAGTGTCACTTTGCCACCTTCTTTAAGAGACACCCCTTTGCTGATGACATCAGGAAACACCATGTCAATGCTGCCCACAGTAATATAGAAGTATCTGTCAATTAGAGGATTTATGCCATCTGTTACATCCAACTTTATAAGGTCTCGAATGCCTTCCTGTCCATTGTGAGTGTACAAAATGAGACCCTTGTTCACCTCGTTTTGTGTAAAGTTCATGCCAACTGTTATGTTCTCTAGAGACCCAGCAGATCTTTTCTCCACATATCCTGCTGATTTTCTATGAAGGAAGCCCTGACCGGGGCCATAGCGAATGATGAAAGTAAGAGACTCATCATCTGAGTCCAGATCAGTAGCTTTTAGTACTTTACTGTTTATCTGTTTTGTCTCACCAATCTCGATGTCAAGCCCATCATTAATGGCAAGCCTTGGTGTTTCATCATCCACAGGGATAATCATGATCATGATGGTGGCCTCAGCTGAATGTTTCCCATCTGTAAGAAGAACGTCAAACTTGTCTTCAGTGGTTTCAGAATTATCATGCTCATAAATTATGCTAGAAGCTTCCTTGATTTGCTCCACAGTGAAATTTGTGATTGGGACAGAGCCACTTGCAAGCTGATTGAGGATGAACCCATGATTTGGGGGTTTGGTGATGATAAATGTCAATTCTTCTGCAGGAACATCAGCATCGACTCCATTCAAGAGTGTCATGTCAATGATAACATTCATACCCTCCATTACAACAAACTCTCGCATAAAGATCTCCGGTTTTTCATCATTGGTGGGAATAATTATAATTGGAAAGAACTGTCTCTCTGAGAAATTCACACCATCTGAACATCTAAATGTGAACTTGTCCTCCACTGGCTCAACTCCTTTATGTATGCTTTGGACATAATGAATATGACCTTCATTCACATCTCTGATGGTAAAAGCACTTCCTGCCGTTCCCGACCTTGACTTTTCAGAGCCTGGTGCTGGAGAGATGTTCTCCACATATCCTGATGTAGGCTGAACAATGATGGTGCACAGGATGTCCTCAATTGGTGTGTCTGCATCTTCAACCATAATATGATGCCTACCAATTGTGTTTTTATCCCCCTCAAAGACGGTAAAGGTAGGGCCAACTGTGACCACTGGAGTCTGGTTATCTACAGGCAGAATGGTGACGTGAACACCGACTCCATTTACTTGGTTACCCCCTACAGTCCACTCATCAGACATGTCAGAGAGGGTCAGGTTGAAAAAGTCTTCTATCGAAGTGAGACCAATCTCACTGCTGGTGTGAGCATACACGACCAGACCACTGATGATATCAGCTTGGGTGAATCTGCTTGAGGAAACTCCACTCACCAGAATTTCTCCAAACTTAGGGGCTTCTTCCACAATGAACGTCAACCTCAGGTCATCAGTGTCTTCATCTTTTCCCTGGATAACACTGGTGGTAATTTCTGTGGCACCATTTTCCAGCACATCCAAGCGAGAGCCAAAGGTGCCCTTTGTGAGGCTGAGCATTGGTGTCTCATCATCAATAAGCTTTACCGCTACCTTCACAGTGATTGTTACAACATGAACACCGTCACTAACATCCAATTTAAAAGAGTCACTTGTCGTTTCATCCCCATTGTGAGTATATGACACTTTGCCATCAGAGATATCCATCAAATTGAAACTGCTTCCTTTTTTCAAGTCAGTAAACGTATGCTGAACAAGTCCGTGCTGTGGAGTTTGACTTAGCGTGAATGAAATTTGCTTACTGTCAGTGTCAAGGTCATTTGCGTCGAGTTCAGCACTCGTGATGACATGCACCCTTCTCTCAAGGACAGTGAATCCAGTGTTCGTTATCTGTGGAGGTTTGTTGTTCACAGGCTGCAGGAAAATTGTAAAAACTCCATTAGCACTGTTTCCAGTAGTGTCCTCTACTGTGAAATGGAACTGCACCACATGAGGTGTGATGCCAAGCTCAAGGTCTAGTGGGCTGTAGGAAATCTTATGATGGTTAATTTGCGCTTGGGTAAATTCTGTTACGTCAGTATCGGGGCTGTCAGTCAAAACAATAGACCCAAATTTAATGGGATTATTCTCATCTGTGTCAGTTGGCAGTTGAGTTATTGTATACTTCAGGTCACGGTCTTCAGAGTCCAAGTCAGTATAACGAAGAACATTCTTGTTGAAATTAGTCAGCTGGTACTCATGTACTGTCATCTGCAAAGTAGTGCCTGGGAACAGCACGGGTGGAATATCATCAATAGGTAAAATTTTAATAATGAATGAATTCTCACCAGATTGGTTGGGAGGATCGGCATCATCTTGTACTCTAAAAACGAACTGATCAGTTACTGCATCTGTGATGTGTGGACCTATGTGCCTATAGAAGAGCTTTTCATCTGTAATATCTTTCTGGAGCCACTGTGTCACAACTTTCTCATATACACCATCTTCTGCATTAAATTTCCAGGAGGATGGGTCCTCGGGTGCTTCAGATTGCCTCACCACGACCTCGCCAATAGCAGAAAATGGAGGCTCGATTGTAAATTTAATGGTGGAATCTTCAGAGTCGATGTCTGCTGCACTGAGCATGAGCTGTGAAATGGGCACCATCTGATTTTTGAATAAAATCAGCCCAGTGTTAGCATTTATGATGGGTGGCTCATCATCTGTGGGTACAATTGTGATGGGGAACAAAAACTCAACTTCATTCTTGCCATCTGACATTCTGAATATTATATTATCACTGTATGTGTCACTGCCATCATGCTGGTAAACCACAATGCCGACCTCCAGATCAGCTGGCGTAAAATACTTCTTGTTGGTGCCTAGAACAGTTAAGTGACCGTGACGCAGTCCATCAACCACCGTTATCCTCACACTGTCCAGGTTGTCTTCATCACTTATTTCTAAATTGTTCTGAGTAAACAAAGACCTAGACTGGCCTTCATATAAAAGCTGGCCAGTATTCTTAGTGACTACTGGCGCTAATGTATTCATGGGCTTCACAACAATCATGAATGCAAAAGGATCTGAAATGCCACCATCTGTGTCTATGACCTCAAACTCTATTTGAAAGATCCTCTCGGTATCCGAGTCCAAAGAGGGAGGTTTGTATGCTATTTTCAGATCTTTGAGATCCCTTTGATAAAAGGATGTGATAGGTAAATTCCTATCATCTGTACTCACAATATAGCCCTCCTCAAAGGACAGAGGAGAAGTGATGTTGAAAATGAGATCATCAGGATTGGATTCTGTATCCTCCGCAGCCAACATATCAGGAGTTAAAGCCGTCATAACAAACTGATCAACTTCCATCATCATCATAGCCACAAAACTCGGTCTGGGGGGAGTGTTTTCTTCACCCTCTTTTATCCGAATCATCACATGGAAAAACTCTTGTTTCAGTAAATTATTTTCTTTGCTCCGTAGCTCCACAACCATTGGGATGTAATCCTTATTAGGGGACTTGTGGGTAGATGTGTGCTCATAGCGGATATATGATTTGAGAAACAGATCACAATCCATCATTTTCTCCAGTTTGATCTCATCAACAACTTTACCATACCTTGGAAGCGCACTGCTGGCTGCCAGCGATGTTACCTCACATTGTTCTGAGGTTTTATCATAGGTGAAGTCTAAAACCTTTCTGCCGATTGGATTACTAGTCCCACGCAGTTTATCAACATTAAGAGGCATGTTCTTAGTAACAATCTCCAATTGTGTGAAAACAACCTCCACCTCTAGCATAAAGGGGATGATAATAGTTTCAGTCTGAGTGTCATACCTGAGTTGCAGCTTCACCCTGTCACTCGCAGGGCTCCTAGAACCGAAATGAGAGTATCTCACATCGTTAGGACCAAATTCACACGGGAACTTTTTAGGAGACACATGTCCCGGTCTCTGAGACAGCGGATCATTATCCAGAACGGTAATAACGCACCTGTCTCCAGGCTGAACTTCAATGACCAAGTCGTTGATCGGATCGATGTAAACAGATCTCCCGAAAGGCACGTGTATGCCGTTGTTTGCCACCAGTATCGCGTCCTCCGAGAGTTCTGGCGTGTTCGCGTACGACAATCCGTGCGTTTCAACTCCTCGCGCTGAACGACCTGTCAATGAAAGCAAGAGAATGAAAAATCTATGAAGTTCCATGCTGAACGCGCAGTGTACACAGCCACAGGAGGTTCTTAGGCAAATGAGATATCGAAATGGAGATCGATGGGGTTTTCCGCTATTATGCTTTACATCCAAGAGGGAAGAGGAGACAAATAAAGAGAGTTGAGAAATCCCACACACGCGCCAGGATGCTCGCGCGGCATTCCCACAGAGTCAGCGCGAGCTCAGTTTTAACTTGTGCATGGATGACAGCAGGAGGACACGCCCACAGGCTCATTCTATTGGACGGAGACTTGGATTCCCACGTTCGCAGGTGATGTTCTCAGAGGATTTGACTGTCTTCTTTAGTTGTGTTGTAGATAGGCGCGTCTGGGTACAATTGTAACTCTCTACATTTCTTACATTAGAAACATTCATAGAATGTGTTTGTATGTTCTCATTAAAGGCATCTTTTCATTTTATTAAACAAAAAACAATTTAAGTTGTAAAAGTCTCTTTCCCCCTTGGATATCCAGTAATTTTTTTATTTATTTGTTTGTTTGTTTATTCATGCTGTCTATAGTTATAGTGCATTTGAATTTAAACTTGTATCTATTCCTATATTAAATTAATGTATTGCTATTTTAAAACATCAAAATAACTGCTTACAGTTTTTCCTGTGTAGCGCAAATGGCAACGCTTAGTATTAGCAATACCAAGGTGATGGGTTCGATTCCCCGGGAATGCAAGAAGTGATAATACTATGTGACCCTTGAATGCAATGTAAGTTGCTTTGGACATAAAAAGAAGTGAGCAAGATGAATAACATTTACCCTAAAGTCAGATAAAAATGATGAGTTAATGCCAGAGTTTTTATTCTAAGACTCTTGACCTGCCTCGGGGTTCCTTTTTAATATTTTACTTAGAAATTAGGCCCACTCACTCACTGTTCCTCACTTCAGCCTCTCAAATACCTGTAACCCCCAGGATACAGAAACCATTTAAGAGTTAATATAAGCATTACATACTCACAATGTCACTGGGAGCCATAAAAGACTTGATCTTATTTTAGCTATGAGGTCAGGGCAACGCTAGCTATGAAAACAAATGTGTTTGTTTAAAATATGTAATGAACATTACCTCATTAAAGTGCCTATATTAAAGTATTAAAGTATTCTTGACTTCTGCTGATGAATATATTTTAGTAAAAAGGATGTAACCCATTATAAATAGTGTAGCTGTAACTTTTGCCTTAAGCGTCTATCATTCCTGACAGCTAAAAGTATCATATGAGGATGAAAACTATACTGCAATATTAATGATTTTATATATATATATATATATATATAGGTTATAGGTTAATATTGTCCCATTGGAGGTAATAAATAAATGTATTAATTTGAATTAATTTCAAATTATAATCAAGTCCTTTTTTACTGTATTAACTAATTAATACTATTAAGTGATACTATTACTGTCAGGGTATATTTTTCTTATACCAAAAGATGTACAGTACAATTGTATTGTGTGTAGTCTGTGAGAAAAGAAGAAAAAATTTTAAATAAACAAACAAACAATCGTTTTGCCTTTTCTCTACAGTTTGAGATGTTTTGGTGAAGACACTTTGGACAATGGTTTCTTCTTGGTTAAAGAAAAATTCTGGAGGGAGAAGAAAGGCGAGAGTCTTCTGAAGTTCGTTGGGACACATGTGTTTTTTTAATTACAATATGAAAGACTACAGTCAGTGTTTTCACGTGTGCTCTCTGAGAATGACTGTTTCCCACAAACCTTCAAACCTGTAATCAATCATCTGTTCAGGCACCATAAAAACTCCTGATGGCTCGACTGCGTTAGAGTCTTGGTATTTTCTCTCCACATCTCAGTTTTTCAATTTAATTTTTTGTCTCAATGTAGCCCTGGGAAAATATGGCCACTTTATTGGTGAAGGTAGACAGAATCAATCAGACCTCTAATCTCTGTGATCAAGACTATAACACACTTTGTCCAAAGGGACCAAAAGTGCCTTGAAAAGTCTGCAGTGCTGCAAAAAGTGGGGCACTTAAAAACAAAGAAAAGAAACAAAAATGTGCCAATGTTTAAACTGATGTTTAAACGATAAGCATATTTCGGTATTAAAACTGATGCAATCATGCCTTGAGCTGTCCAATGACATAACACACACAACCAGTGACAAAAACATTTATTTGTTTGATATCTTAGAAGTTTTTTTTACAGTGCATTTAATTTTTATACAGACATGACATACAAATACATGTGAAAAAAGGCAGCCCACTCATATTAAAGTTCACAGCTGTTAAACGTCCGTTCTCAGGTTCCTTCTGTTGTCCTGTGGTGAGTGACCGTCTGTCATCTGGCATAACTGCAGACTGAGAAAAGTTCCGAATTACAATGGAAAATAGTACATTTGCCCACTTGTCAGACACTGACACTCTCACTGAATGAGTCATGAATCAAACCAATTAAAAACCAGACATTAGATTTTTGAATAAGAATTATTTCAAAATCTGTTCTTTCTTTGCAATTTCTTTCAAAGTAAATGTGTGGCATTAACCATGTGATCTTCTTGTGCAGGTGTTCACATTCTCTCATTTACAAATTATGCTGGATTATGCAGGTTCTTCACAAATTTGTGGAGTTTATTCATCTCTCTTTATCTCTTGCATATAGTACAGAGGTTATTAAAGACACAGATTAGCCACAACACTCTTGGTATCCAAAAAAACAACAACAACAAAAAAAAAAGATATGTGGAACACTCTCTTGGTACTAGGCCTATAATAACAAAATATTTTCTAGGTTTTGTCCCCCCAATGGATCTGGAAGAAGCTGCACCACAGTTAAAAATATCTTGCTGAAGTTAAAGGTGCATCTTTCCACCTTACAAACTAGCAAAACATCATCTAAAGGATTTGTGAAAGTGAACATTATGTATTTTCTGAAAGGTCACTTGTTCCTCTTGAGTACTGTTGCCATTTCTGTCACAGATGTTTGCAGGGAAGGGAAATATTCTCAAGCCAGTACTCATTGTTGTCTAAATGTTCGTTTAACATTATATGTTTTTCACCTAAAGACATGAGGATGGTGGGGAAGATGTTACTCACCTTTAGAGCTTTAGCTTCAAATTAGAACTTTGTTTGGAGCTAAATGACAACTATTGAAACAACTGTCCTGCTGATGGCGCTGGGCTCAAGTCAGACGAGAAATGTGTTTGCTCTGAGGAATAACAGCTGCCAGTCTAACAAAATTCTCTTTCCAACTGCTATAAATTGGCAGCATCCAACAATAAAAAATAAAGAAACAATATTATATAATTAAAATGATATAAACAGGCCTATAAATGTAAATTTTTGCCACATATGAAATAGCATGTATTGGTAAATCATAATTATGATATAAAAATCATCATTCTGACATAAAATTGAAAGTGAGATAAAAAGGCATTATTATGGAATTAAAAAGGCGGAATTATTAGACAAGTCTTAATCATGAGATACAAAGTCTAAATTATGTCATAATTACACAAGTCAAAATTACAAGATAAAAGCCACACTTATGAGATGCTAGGTTAGGCTATAATTATCATATTTAGCATCAAACATACTTTTTATGGAAGACCATTTCTGCCACATGAAAAAAAGAAAAAATGCTTCGGCAAATCATAATTTTTTACATAAAAGTCATAATTATGAGATAACACGTCATAGTTATGACATTAAATGTTATAATTATGACATACAGTGTAAATTGAAATGACAAGATAAGAAGTCACATATATGACATTCTAGGTCATAATTAGCATATTCAGCATCATACATAATTTTTATGGAAGACCATTTTTTCCACATGTGAAAAAAGGGGGGGAAATTATGCTTAAAAGACATAATTATGACATAAAAGTAATAATTATCAGATAAAAAGATTAAATTATGAGATGAAAAGTCATTGTTGGCTTAATATGAAGTATCATATAAAGGCATATGAGCTTCATCAATATTATATAAGCCTTTATATGATTGGCTGCTTCTTATGCTTTGTCTTTCATGGAAAATGTCAAAAGGAGGATGCTTAAATTTAAGCATAATTTCACATATTTTTATTACTGATTTTTCTTTTGTTTACATTTTCTTTAAATCACTTTTTTTTTGCTGAAAAAAAAAACTATTTAATGGAAGGGGGGGGAGGAGTAGTTATAGTATAATTAATAAATTGTTATTTGTTTGCCTTTTTCTAAATATCACACTACGTGGTAAATATTTATATATTTTTTCTCAGAAATTCCATAACAACCCTCATTAGTGCCTCATTTGCACTTTACTCTCTATATTGTACTCAGTAACTAAATGTGCACGAGCGCTTGTTAACTGACTGATATCATTATTTCAACGACCGCTGTTGAAGTTCAAGGACAAATTACCAACCCAAGCCCTTTCCGGTCACTGTTAAAAAGTAAGTTTCATATTTAATTTACAGTCAAAAAGCACGTATGAGTCGGTGAGGTGTAATAGTCTACATGTTGGCAGCCAGCGGTGTGTCACCTGCTGCTATTACCGAGGCTAATTTTCAAAAGTAACCCGTGGGAGAGAGAAAACTCTCATACTCCGGCTTGTTTGAGAGATTAATTGAGTGTTACATAAAGGCTTTTGATTGTAGGGGTTGAGAAGTACAGACCTCATCAGCTCTATGGCAGCCAGTTATAATTAGGCATCATTACAGCTTCATGGCAAATGTCCAAATCCTCGTGCAAATAAGGTGGATGATCCAGAAGAGGGCACTGTTGTATTATTGTCTAGCCTTCACTAATGCTCCAAAGAATAGTAATGTTCAAAAAAATAGCAGACTTTCAAGGGGTATTACCGTGTCAGGTTGAAATTGAAAGAATTAGCTTAAACAAGAGTGGAGAAGAATCAAGGAAGGTGAAGGACTGAAACAAATATTTGTCTTTCGTGTTCAGACCCTGTCGGTGAAAGGTCACTTGGATTTCCATTAGAAGCAGGTAATCTAAAATGAGATCTAATGCAGGCCCTGTGGAGGGTGGATGGATAGATGCACTGGTATCAGGAGAGGCCACAGGCGAAGATCTGCTCAACCAGAAAGGACCGTGCCACATCAGAGGGCTAATAGTTTCTAATATCACTATCTGAGAGAATGAAATACAGTTTTTAGGTCAGACCCTCACACTGAATGAGAGAGA